AAAAAAAAAAAAAAAAAAAAAAAAAAAAAAAAAAAGAGACCGGGAGTGCGCACACAGCAGTGGCCAGATCCCACTAGGAAAGAGGATTGGATCTGATGCCCGAATCTGGATGTGGTTGGGGGAGAGGTGCAGATGATCAGGATTGATCTGCTTTTCTGGGGAAAGGTGCAGAAAACCCTGATTGATCTGCTTTTCTGCATCTCTGCTTAAAAGTTGAAACCCATCCAGATTCAGGTGCTTGATTCAACGCTCTTTGCTAGTGGGACCTTGATCCAGAAGCAAAATTTAAAATTTCCCATAGATTCAGGCACTGCCGGGAATTTTCTACTCTTTCCTTTTCTTTTCTTTCTTTCTTTTGAGCCCCTTCTATTCTGGGGCTCATCACCGGCAAGCAGAAAAAAAGTTTGTTTGACAAGAAAGGAGTGTACAACCCAGTACCCCGGACGCCCGAGACGCTGTGCCGGGGGCTGGGGGCCACCTGTAGTAACCATCCGCGTTCCTTCTTCCCGGGGCACACATAATGGCCAGGAAACAAATCTATGTACCCAGACGCCCATTAAATGTGTCACAGCCCCGGTCCCATGGCCATCTCTCCAGCCGCCAGGCCTTGCTAGCATTTGTCCTAGGTCCCACCTTTCCTATGCCCGCTTTCCCGTTCCCAAATCCCACTGTTTCTATAGTACCATGTGGCGCCCAGAAACCTCACGTCCAGCGCAACTTCCTGATCGGAGTGGGATGTGGGCCTGGAAGTGCGAAAAGGGGTGTGCCAAGGATTTTTGGGAAAAGTGGGGTTGGAGTCTCAGGTCGGAACTGGGATCTCCTGTGGCAAGGATTCAGGGGCATAGATGCAATAGGACTAAGGGGCGGGTTACTTCCGGTCTGATGGCGGTCGTTGTCGTGCAGCCTAAGGCAGATGGCATGCGCGGTGCATCAGAGGCCGTCTGCTGCGTCTGTCTTGGTGACGGCGGTTCGGAAGAGGCTCGTGAAGGCTGCGGTGCTTAGAAGTCGGATCTTCCGGGGGCAGACACGTGGCATCTGTCGCTGCGTGTTTTAGTTACGCTCCGTAGTCCCCGGGTTTGGTGGTGGCTGCGTCGTCTGCAGTTTCTGCACGGCGTGTGGGGC